GCTGAGCAGGGAGCCCGATGTGGGACTCGATCCCGGGACTCCAGGATCATGACCTGAGCCGAAGGCAGTCGCTTAACCAACTGAGCCACCCAGGCACCCAAAATGGTAAGATATTTAAAGTGTACATTATCATGATTTGATATACAATGTGGAAGGATTCCACCTGCCCCTGCCCCCCATCTAGTTAATTAACACATCCACATGGGTGATTTTCTTGAGATCACAAAGCCCAGAGCACAGCCTCAAGATCATCTTATAGTCTAACACCTGGTTCCTTTCTAAAACGATGAGGACCCCTGGAATACCAAGAACAATGACAGCTCCTAGATGCCATGAGGCCACCGTTAATAAAAACTTCCAAGGGAAATGGAAACCTAAAAATCTTGGAAAATAATTTTATTGTAACCACAGGTTGATTACAAAATAGAAATCAGAGAAAACATATTTTCTTAAATCAAAGTAACTAAATTTAGGTGAATTGATATTTATTCAGAATAACTTTAATGCTGTTTGTTATTCTAAAACTTCCAAAAATTCCATCTGACATAGGGGTTGTTGAAACTGTCACAAACAACAGTGTAGCTAATGAAGGGTTGCTAGGCTTTATTCAAAGCATGACTCCAGACTTAACACAGAGGTTCTATTAGAAGTCTAAGAGGAAAAAATGGGCCATCAGAAATAGGGATAAGACATGGACATAGAGGCATTTTACACATAGGACTTCACATCCCCAACTAGAACAAGCTTGCTCTGGAATTCTGCCATCTATTTTCATGTTTGTCTAAACCAACCAACAAACAAACCTCAGCTGGAATAGTGTGAACAATGGTCATCTCGTTCCATCAACAACATTTCATTCATTCAGCACATATTGGAGTCCCTACCATGTGCTGGCACTGAAAGCAAGAAGGAGCAAGAGACATTCCCTTCCTTCGCCAAACTCATTGCCAAAAGAGAACACAAACAACCAGATATTTCGAATAACCCGGGGAAGAGCAATGATAAAGATGGGCATGGGCTCCCATGGGAGCCCCAGGGAAGGCTGCCTCAGCCCAGCAGCTTCCAGGGGAGAGCTCTGATGTTGGAGTCAGAATTACCCAGGGAAGCAGAGGTGGAGGTAGTTTCTAGAAACAGAACCATCATAAGCCAAGGCAGAGAGGCATGAGGGAGAGGAGTAATGACTTCAGTGTGACTGCAGCACACATGTAAAGGGAGGGCTGATGGAGATGAGGCTGGACAGGTGGTCCTGAATATAGAATTCTGAGTTAATAAATTGTGGTTATGACTTTTCCCTGTTTAAAAAACAACAAGAACAAAAAAACCTTGGTTCCTTAATTGCATGCAAAGTGTATTCTTTTGAGACAAAATTTATTTCATTTTTAGTTCTGTTTGGCTGCATATTTTTCAAAATAATTATACTCCTTGGGGAGCAGTAAATGACAGACATGGGTTTTATATAAATGTCAATTACGATTTGATCATAAATCATGAAGCAATCACCTGCTTTTACCAGGGGACACGGAGTGTGGGGAAAGATGGCAAGTGCTGAGCACCTGAAGAGAAATCAACTCCTCTTCTGGGAGGTGAGTTTATTCTTCTTGGAGATCTGGGGGTCCTGGATCTGGAGTAGAGTCTGGACACAGTTTGGGAGGGAGGAAGTACTACAGAGGACCTGGAGAAGCCCCTCACCGTGGGTGAACTGCATCATCATTTCCTGTGTCTTTTCTCTGGCAAATTCTGCCAGACTTCTGTACTGCCTCACATCATGCTGTGATCTGTCAGGGGCTAGACAGGTCAGCAGTAGAGGAAGGCTCTGGAATCTCAGCAGAAGCAGAGTCTGGAATCAAAGCAGGTCTGCCCGTTTTCCTGGGCATAGCAAATATGTAAGCACTACACTGACCAAGAGACAGCATTATGAGAGGGCAGCTAACCGAAACAAATCGATTCTATCTGAAAACACACTGAGGCTTTCCACATCCACTCTCCTGTACCGACTTAGGGCATCAGAGCATCTTTTCTCCAACTCTGCCGACAAGCTCTGCACTCAGAAGGTTCCTTTGCATCACTTAAGCAAATCATTGCTTATTAGCAACTTGAGGTAACCTCCAGGTTCTTTAGATGACTTTCACTCTTCTTTGTCCTGGATATTTTAAAATAACAGGTAAAAATATCTATTCTCAGAGCTGTAGGAGATAAAAATGTTTGCCCTGATGGGAATGAGCTCTTGATTTAGCTAAGCTTCATTTTAAAGAGTCTATCTTAAAGAGAGATACAGTATTACATGAAATTAACATCTGACAAATTTCACGGGAAGTAGTCTATTTTCTCTGATGTAATACTTTTCTTTTGCAGTTTTTTTTTTTTTAAACAAGGTAAACTTGGTAAATTGAGCAGAAGAATGAAGATGGAAAAAACAAAAACATACTTATTCTGAGACCAGGGCCATGTTCTAAGAACAAAGTGGTTCCTGTTAGTAGGCAAGAAGAGAAAGATGCTAGACCGTTATTTTTCCTCCACAACAGGACAATAAGGAAAGCGTATCTCGGCCTCCTAGACCAAGAGACTCGCATTTCCTACCAGACCTGGGAGGATTTCCGCTTACCTATGAGTTCTTCCTTATTAACCTTTTGATTAACTGTTATTAAACACTCCTGAACACAGTGACTGCCTTATATGACTCAATTTATCATCACTACAAGATGAGCACTATTATCAGCCCCATTTCACAAATGAAGGAACTGAGGCACAGAGAGGCCAAGGAACTCACTTGAGGTCACACAGATAGGAAGGTCTGACGCTGAAAGCTTTCTTCTTCACTTTTACACTGTACACTCTACTTCCTTTAGTGACCATGCAGAGTTCAGTAAGAAATGAAAAACCACCTCTATGGAAAACATTCCCGTGCACCTAGTACGATCCCAAACTATTCCAAAAAACTCTTCCGTGGCATTTATCCATGCCTGTCCTCCCCATCACCAAGCACTATACTCCCTCCCCAGGCTAGCATGAAGGGAACAGCAGGGATCGGGTAGCGAAAGCTAGCACCTTTGCCAAGCATGCTGTCTCAAGTGTCTCGCTTTGTTACCTCATTAATGAATGACTACAAAGAATCACAGAGAACAACCATCTGCCCATCGCCTGACCCCCTCATGTGACCCAACTTACTCCATGGAGTCGATAATTTTTTTTGGCTCCACAGGGCACGGGTAGATGACCTCATCGATGTGCGTCAGGTTACAATTTGAAAAGGCAGTGGAGATATGTATGAAGGCTTCAAGCTTGGGCATCTGACTGGCCATAAGCAAGAGCTGCTGGGTGGCAGTGACGTTAAGTTGCACGGCATGTCTGCAGGAGGTAAAGCAGAAGGAAGTACAATGAGGCAACTTGGCATCCTGCCTTGCTAGAACTTCACCTACTCCAATAACTGGCATGTCCATCTGATTTCTGTGGCTGCACCAAAGGACCAAAAAGAAAAGCATGGGTCGTGGCTACACAGTAACGTGATGCCTGCAAGGTGTTATATGGTGATGATGCATTCTGTGCACATAAATCCTATTCATTGAAGCATTGTTCATATTGCATATAGAGATGGCTTGGTTCTAAATCAGCTGGAAGGAAAAAAAATCATAATCCTCTGAATGTATAAAGGGGTTTCTTAAGCAGCCATTAAAAATATAGACATAGGGGCTCCTGGGTGGCTCAGATGGTTAAGCATCTGCCTTCGGCTCAGGTCGTGGTCCCAGGGTCCTGGGACCCAGCCCTGCATTGGGCTCCCTGCTCAGCAGGGGGCCTGCTTCTTCCCCTCCCTCTGCTTCTCCCCCACTTATATTCTCTCTCTCTGTATCTCTGTGTCTCGAATGAATAAATTAAAAAATATATATATAAAAATAGGGGTGCCTGGGTGGCTCAGCTGTTAAGCGGCTGCCTTCGGCTCAGGTCATGATCCCAGGGTCCTGGGATCGAGCCCCGCATCGGGCT